TTTCCTCGTTCATATCATCCTATTCAACATTCCGGTATTACAGCTTGGATGATTTTCTCGTTTTATTATTGTTGATCAATCAAATGTGTATTACCCAAATGGGTAAATCGTTTTCGGGCCCACACACTGTGGAATTCACTCGCCACAAACGCATTCCTGTTGTATTTTTGCATTCAGTATATCCTCTGAGTTTCAGTAAATATTGACTTGGTTATGCGAAACTCCGTCTCACTTATGAGATCTGAGTGATGAATTACGATAAAATGATCAGCGCAATAACTCATTATCATGCATCATATTTGTCTAAATTTAACCGATGCACTCTTCAATAAACTAATAAACATCAATCATTGACCAATTATACTTTTCATGTCACAGTCTCTTTACACCATCAACTTCAAGACACCGTCATTCAAGTATTAAATTCACGATTAAAAACAATTTCCAGCTATCAAATATATCTATCCATCACAGTTGCAGTCAAACAAAAAGCAGCCCGAGAAAACTTATCAACTGACAATAATGTCGTTCTCGATAAATCTTCCCCACTTACTTTAATCATAAATTTAGATAGAGACCTAAAACGCTGACTAAAAGAAATTTCAAACGCCAAAGTTGCACATAAACTGAAATTTTAAAGTCCTTATAGCAATCAAATGCATTTTATTCAATTGTTGATCTAAACCGACTCGCATTTCGAGCTCCATCTTACATGTAATTGATCACTTTTAACACCTCACTTAAGAAATGAACTCGAAGAATACCAAAAATCAACTTTTTACAAAAATACACTTTGTTTCTCTTGCATCTGTTGTTAAACCATTGCAATGAATTTGCAGCATTTATTAGAATGAAGATTTTCTGGTACAATACAATGACAACCGACACAACTAATTTAGTTTTCTGAAGTTCCATTGAAACAGTCCATTTGAACACAACAACACATCAATTCTATGAGTACTAATTATTGTACAGAAAATACAAATCACTGAAATATACAAATCCCTCTCAAAAAAATTCGACTTCTCACAATAAATGAAACAGTATCAGCTTCGTAGCAGATACGTTCTTCAGCTCTGATTAATAGGTAAGAAAAAAAGCGAAACGAATAAAGAATGACGTAAATGAAATATTGGTGAAGTCATAACAGACAAAAGAAATTGTGATTTACACAGACGGAAATAAATGAATACAAATATTCTATTTTGATCACTTCAGTTTCACACTATGACAAGACAGTTTTAACAGGGAATCACAATACACTTTGATGATTTTGATGACGGATTGAAAATTTTCATCTGCGAAACTGTTTCGTAGAATTTCAGCAGAACAAACAAATCAACCGTATGATGAGAATAGGGATAATATTCAGTTTCACTGCCGCATGAATCATGAACCGTTGGAAGTCGACGGACGGATTCAACGAGGTGATGACGAATATGACAAGAAATCAACAAATCATGTTAGTCATTAATCGCTTCAATATGAACCGATTGAATCAACAAATTACACGAATATTACAATACGCACACAATGTGTTATGAGAATCCGACCAGCGAATTCAGTTCTATAAAAATAACATAAAGATTCGCTGGAAATACTTTCATAAACAAGAGCGAAAATTCGCTAATGATAAAGTGAACGTGAGTGATGCCAACAATGTATTCGTCTGGCTAACAATAAGCGCTAAGTTGAATCTGGCCTTTGAACATATTCAATGAAATTTCTTCAAGATTATTTCGCTTTTCGCATGCCCCATATCTAGAACAAGCAACTTTTTTATCCGTGTACGAATGTGAAATAAAATTCTCAATACAGCTGACAACTTTTCATCGCGGTATCAGAATATTCCTTCATATTGAATTAGATTTAGAAGCATTTCAATCAAGAAGTAACGACTACCTTCACGCTTGGGTAGGAATTTCTCCTCCCCGCTGAATCAACAGGTGAAATTNTCGTTCAACGACTCGAATGAATACTATTCGAAGTCCATCATTCAAATAAAACGACCAAAATTTTCAAACGAAAGGAACAGCAGCGATGCAAAACAAACAATAAGGGAACGTAATGAAGGAAAGTAACCTTCGCCGGCAGCTGTGAATTCGGTTAAATATGTTGGCGACTTCATACTCCCAGTGTTGTAATTCGTTATCTCCTGACGATTGCTCGATTCATCCTTCAAGTCATGAATGTGAGGTTACGGCTATCAAGCCAGATTTCGAATATCAATATTCTCCTTAGGGTATTCAATTCGATACTGAGAACTGAAACATCGTTTGTGTTGACAAAACGATTTGATAAAAATGTACTGATACCGTTGTTGATGACTGGCAAACAACTTTTTCATATTTTGCTATTTCAGCTTCCAGTTCGGCGTTTTCTTTCTCGAGTTGTTCGTTCTCAGAAACAATTTTCTTCAGGTGATTTTCCATTTGAGTGATCATGTCGACAGCATTTTTTAACACCACGGCACGCGACGCCTTCAATACGCTATTTTGAACTTGGCCTTCATCTTTTAAATGAATCAACAACGACAACAGAAGTGGCGTACGTGAAAAAGTTATGCAAATAAATTCGCATAGGTGATAACAGACCAACACAAGTGGATAAAGAAGTTCTAGATGAAAATTTGCTTCAATGAATGTTTGAATGAACACAGATTCAATGAATATATAAAAAAGGCAGTTTAAGAATATTTCGTTGATTTTTCACTTCATTATTCCATACAACAAACGATATAGAATTTAGATTACTTTTCAAAATCAACTCCATCCAATTTAGAGGAACAAAATCCAACGATTCGAAGGATTAAAGTCGTCCTCACCCTTTCAGCGCTCATTCCAGGTATAGTATCCTTCAATGCGCTATACATATCCTTGATATTATCCCGTCGCCTTCGTTCCAAGGCATTATGCTGAGCACGTGCATGCTTCCTTGTATCCACCACAGCTTGAGAGCCCATTGCCACATCTTCCTGCAAAATAATCCAAGAAATAGGATTTTTCAACACAATAATGACACCGACTTTACATCTCCTATTTCTTGACATGACAACGAATTTGATATTCAATCAAAATGATCTGTATGAACAATTAAATCTTTTTTTGAAACAAATACTGCCATTGTAACGTATGATAGGTGGCATGGACAAATTTTTATCTGAAACTAACGTCTCCTTCGCTGAAATCTGCATCACTCATGATCGTTCGTCGAGCATCAAACTTTGCAAAAATATGGTGGCACTACCAGATCTTCGACCAATTTTCCTCCTTCAACCACCCGCTTCGATAATCACGAATCAACAGAAATACTTCTTGAAGCGTTACTGTGGAATTCCAGGCTACGCTTTCTACACACGTACCTGAAAATTCACGTGACATGAAATAATAAATTAATACTAAACCATTAGAAGTTCACATTCATCCATATAAAAAACAGAATCTCAATTTTAAGAAAGCCTTCACATTTAGAGTCAAAAAACACACTAAAGCAACAGAAAAAAACGCATTTCTGTGAATTATAGTTGTTAAACGAACGCATAAAGCATCAGTGAACAAAAACCAACAACAGACAAGGTGGAATTAAAAGAGCTCTTGACACTCGGCCAATTGCTATAGGCAATACGCGGCCAATCAAAAGTAACTTCAGATGCGCTGTGTACTCAGCGCCGTTTTTAAGCGAGCCTCAGGAATCTATACCAATTAGATTCATTTTAATCATCAACTTAAGATCAAACCATATAAAGAAATGAGATTTATTAAGAGATTGTAAAGAGCTGATTCGTTTTGAAATCAGACGGAAATGATCTGACACGAATTGAGATGTGCCGAAAAACTGAATTTTGTACCTAACTGGGAGAATTTCAAAGCAATCTGAACCATTTTTCGGAAATAACCACGGTTTTACCCAGTCGGAATTTTTATAGAGTAAGACGAGACGTTTAAATTAGCGAACATCGACAAGAAAAACGAATGTAATGAATTCGCAGTTCGATTCGCAATGTGAACTCGATGAATGTAGAGTCAACCCCGGAAAAGGCGCGATTTTGAAATTTCGTGACGGCGAGCAGCACCTAACCATTTATCTTCCATTTTCAGACGGGGGAAAAAGGCCAGCTGTTCGCTAGACGGGTCCCGATCTCCGTTTCGCAGANCATTTATCTTCCATTTTCAGACGGGGGAAAAAGGCCAGCTGTTCGCTAGACGGGTCCCGATCTCCGTTTCGCAGAACAGCTGGCCTGTACAATGCCCATCGATTGAGTTCGGCGTGCAAATGCAAGCAACTGACACTGGAAAGTGCAGCAGCTCACAGGTTGCTACCGAATCCAGAGTGGTGAGGCGCGCACACAGTGCAATAGAATTTAAGCGATCCGAAACCTACCCAAAGAATTTAGAACATCGAAAAATAGCACCACACCAAACTCTGTCCCAATCGAAGGGTGTCAGAACTCAACAACACGTTAAAGCTTTATACATCTCTCATCACTCTTTGCAAAGAGTAATGAGGGTTTCACAACAGTTAACATAAATAAACACATCAACACAATACTTGCAATAACAATGGTCGCTTCACGACACATTATATCTTATCACAATTATCACATCATCACAAAACTGCAGCCTAATCTTCGCGATCTTTCCCTCATCCATGCCACGTTATACGCAT